ACAAATCACTGAACCTGGTTCCACTAAACCCAGTTCTGGCAAAGCCCGAATTGCGGCGCCGGCCGGCGGGGGAGGAGGGCCGAGCTCCAGCAGTCATCGAGGCTCACGCGACGGGGGTCAGCGCTAACGAGGTCAGCCAAGCCCCTCTGGCTGACCCGGGTTTGGGAGCCACGTGGGGCCGACTCCCACCTTCCCCGTCCTCCGCTGACTTGGGTCTGGGAGCTACCAAGCGGCCGGGTCTCGCAACGGAGCCCTAGCCGACCTGGGTTTGCGCTGACCCCGGTTACTGCGTCCTTGAATTCAGTGCCCAAGCGGGGGGGAGGGGGTCGCCACTCCTCGCCGTGAGAGGAATCGCAGGCCTAGAGGTTGACACCAACACCAAGATCGGCGGTGTGCCTCCACCGAGGGAAGACGATCCCGATCTCGGTGATGGCGGTAATATTCTGGCTTCCAGGGTGGCCGACATGTTGCCACCCACACCGAAAAATCTAGGACCATCTTCCCCCCCTATGGAGGCAAGCCCCTGGGCTGTGGGGTTGGTGCCAATGTCAAGGCCTCCAAAGGAAGGGAGGGGATCCTGGGGGAGGCGGGCCCCTGGGGCGGGCGGGGTGCTCCACTTTCGGGCTCCCGGGGGGGCGGGTAGGATCTCGCCGCCGTCAGGTCGACTGCACGTAAGAGTGACCCTTCGCCGGAGTAACCTTTGGTGCGGGCCCATTGGGGTCCCCGATCGCCGAACGCGAGGCGGCAGTGGCGTCGTGCGCGCTTGTGTTTGGCCCCCCCGCGGCCCCAAAAAAGCCGCGCACCGAAGGTCACTCTTGCCCAGGGTCACTCTTACGTGTAGCCGATCAGGCTCCCCCCGGGTGCCGAGACCGTCGACAAGCTCTTTCCGTTGCGCGCGTCGCCAGACGATGAAGGTAGCAACGGGAGCCCCCCCCGTGCCCAGCCGAGGCCGCCCGAGTCCTTGCAGCCGCGTGTTCATCCTCCTCCGCCGTCGGAGGAAACGGGTCATGGCGTTGGATCGCCGTGTTCGGCGATTGCAAGCTGGTCTTGTGGAAAGCCCAGCGTGTGCAGGACTTGTTTCTGCCAGGATTCGGTTCTCCCAAGCCAGGCCACTCCCGACCTCAAAGGCTCGAGAGGGTTCGAGGGGTCTTGCTTTACGAATATGGTTTTGGTGGGAACTCCAAGGAAGTTGATGTCATCACAGCTGGACTCCCTCAGAGATTCTAGCCAGAACGCACCCTTGGACGGGTTCAGAGGTCGGCTTTGGGTTCCCAAACCCAGAACCGCAGAGGTTCTAAAGCTTGCACAGCACCGCCGCACCATTGGAAGCATTGGGATATGTCCGACTGTCGGTTGGAAACGTCCTGTAATATACCCTCACCGAGTGGCCCGCACAGACAAGCCGAAGTTTTGCGATGATGAACATCAGCAGGTTGAGGAATGTATCCGATGTGGCGCGCACACCGAGGAGCGGTTGTCGAGGGACCAGATGGATTCGGAGGATTGGTGCGCGCGGTGGTTGACGTCACAGGGTCGCATAGACCAAGACCAACTCACTCCATCACAAGGAGCTCGTGGGAGCCTAGGCGTCCAAGCTGTGGCCGTCACTGTGCCGTCTTAGGGCCCTTCAGGGGGGTCTCTTCAGATACTCGATGAGGCATGTCGCGGCCCACTTTGATGCCTTTTAGTCCGTATTGCGCCTCTTGCACGCATCTGCAGCACCTTCGGGGGCATCTTGGGCCGTCTTGAGGCCCTCGTGGACCGTCTTCGGGCACTCGTGGGCTGTCTTGGGGGCGTCGGGGGCCGTCTCGTGGCCCTCTTGGCCGTGCCAGGAAGCTCTCGTGGGCCGTCTTGGTGTCTGCGAAAAGGCGCTCCGTCACCTCAAACTCTTAAGGAGCCTTGGCGTCAACAGTGTCCGTCACTATGCCGTTTGCAGCCAGAAACTTTGGTCTGCAAGCCGCGTCCTGGATGTAGCCGTCTGGGGGCCTTCCTCTTCAGAGGGTGTTAGAGACAGCGTCACGGCCTCCCGTTCCCCCTCAAACAGTCGCCACCCTGAAAATTGGGCTGGCACGGTGGCGGGACTTGCCGCGGGCAGCTGGATGCAAAGCGATGCAAAGCAATTCAAAGTAACGCAAAGCAAAGCAACGCAATGCATAGCCATACAATGCAAAACGGCGAAAACATAGCTTCCAGACCGACAGCCAGTCCCAAGTCCTGAGAAACTAGCTAGAGCAATTCAAGTGGTGCAATCCAGCGGGCGACGGGCGGCGACAACGCGGCGACGGAGCGGCAACGGCGACAACGTAGCCGCCAGACCGCCACACCGGCCCAGACGACGGGCGGCAACGAGGCGGCGACGGGGCGGCGACGGCGACAACACAGCCGCCAGGCTGCCACCCCAGCCCAGACGACGGGCGGCGACGAGGCGGCGACGGCGACAACATAGCCGCCAGCCCGCCACACCGGCCCAGACAGCGGGCGGCGACGAGACGGCGACGGGGCGGCGACGGCGACAATGCAGCCGCCAGACCCGTCTCACTAGCCCAAACGAGGGTTGGCGACGAGGCGACGACGGGGCGGCGACAGCGACAACATAGCCGCCAGACCCTCACACCAGCCCACACGGCGGGCGGGCGACGAGGCGGCTATGGGGCGGCGACAGCGACAACATAACCGCCAGAACGCCACGATGGCCCAGTTCTTCAGAAGTAAGAACCCCCAAGTGCAAGCAGTGCTTGCGGAAAACACGATTGAGGATAGCTGTCGATTAACCATCGGCGGCGAGCGAGGGGGGAAATGAGAAGGTGAAGGCCTTCTCAGAAGGCGGCGGGACTTCTCAGAAGCCCTAGCGCCTTCTGAGCAGTTTTTCGTTTTCGGGCAAGGCTTAGAAAACTTCTCAGAAGTAGGCTGGGCGATGTCCCATCCTTTGAGAAGGTCTTCTCCTTATCACTTCCCCCCCTCGCTCGCCGCCGACACCAAGTATTTGCAGCCGCCCCCACAGCTGCCGGAAACGCGGAGGAAAGAACCGAAATGCAGTTTTGTTTCGAGGTCGCTTGCGAGGGCAAAGCGGCGAGCGCACAAAGGCAGAGCGCTGACTAAGCAAGCGCTTCCAGCGGTCGGCGTGAAGGCGCCGCCGTGGCGAGAAGCCTCAGCACTAAAGCGAAGGAGCCGACCTGGAGCGCGGCACAACCGAAAAAATCGCCAAACCGATACGAACAGCTTGCTTAGAGGAAGGGCGACTGGGACGAAGCAGCCGCACGTGCGTCCGCAAGGCTAGCGCGCACTCGAGTGAGCCGCTGAATCCCCGAAGGCGAGAGGCCCGACGGTTCGAAAGCCGACGGAACAGACTTAAAGAAAGGCACGAAGCAGGACTCTAAACGAGAGGCTCGGCACGCGACAGAATGGCGTGCCGACCGCTACTGCGCGAGACAGCTTGGGGCAGGCCCGAGGAGCACCAGAGCGCTGCGAGAGGGGCAGCACCCGAAGCCGCTCGAGCTGGCTGAGGTCAGGGGCATCGCGCATCCCACGGCTGGCAAGCGGCTGCCCAAAGGGGGAGGAGGAGGAGGAGGAGGAGGAGGAGGAGGAGGAGGAGGAGGAGGAGGAGGCGGGGGCCTTCGGTCGCCAGCTTCAGGCCGGGAGTCCACTTGATGGAAGGCGGGCAAAGCACCGCGCGCAACGAGGGTGCAGGCAAGAGAGGAGCAAGACCACGCCCGCCTCCCGCGCCCGCATGTCTCTTGGCTTGCTGATCGGTGTCTTGACTATACGCGTTGCCCGAGCTAGCACAGGGCGACTCCATCACCCGTGCGGGCTCTCCCACACCTCGACGAGGTGCTTCTCGTGTCCTGGCAGCAAATGCACCTTCGCTCTCGTGCAGTCCTGCATCTCCGCAGTTCGCCGATCGCGTCGGCGACCTGGTCCTGGCCAGGCGCATCCACCTGCGTGATACCCTCAAGCTCGCGGTTTCCCTGGCTGGTAATCGTCCAGTACGACAGGCGCCATGTATAAAATCCTCGCGTGCGTGTGTCCACGGGCCCCCATGGGCCCATTCCATCGGCGCCCGAAGCTGCCGCAGAGCGCTGCCAGGTCGTCTCCTCGGCTCTTGTGCGGTCGAAAACGTCCTCCTCTGCCGAAGCGGCTTACCCCACGGCCTTCACAGCGGCACATGATCTTGAGGTGGGTCGTCATAGAGTACGTCGTATTGCTGCTGACTTCCACTTCGTCAGCGTCCTGGATCAGGCCTACGTTGGTTCCGTTCCTCGCCGCTTCCATAATTTCGCCTGCAGTCTTGAGGTACTCAAACGTATATCCGAACATGCTGATCTGATCACGCACGGAAGCCCTCCAGAGCAGGCGCACATACGTACAACGGGAGGCCGGGCCCGGGGGCCCCGGGCCCGCGACTCCGACCGCAAATGTGCGGACCGGGGGCACGGCCCGCCTTCCGGAGGCCCAAAATCGCTCCTGAGAGTTACTTGACAGCCACCACGGCGGCCCGAGTCACCCCCACGATGCCCCCCAGGAGTCTCCGACGGCCCAAGGTGCGGCTCAAACGGCCCCAGAGGTGTCCGCGACGCTTCCGGACCGCTCCAGGAGGACCCCCCAGAGGACCCAGAGAAGCAGCAAGTGTCACATCCCCGGAGGAAACCAACATGTTTTGCATACTCGCTCTTCTTGATCTCAACACGGTCGGCCCCCAACCAGGCTCCGAAAGACGTCCAAAGAGACCCCAAGATACGCCAGGCCTCTGGCCCACAACCTACGTAGGCATATTTCCTTGATCGACCCCAGACCGCCGTCAAGGCGGCTTCAGAGGGGAGGCGTCCACGACGCTTCAAGACAGCTCGAAGAGGACCCCAAAGAGGGCCCCGAAAAGCAAGCATCGCCTCATCCCCTTAGGAAAACGTGCATCTTGAGCATGCTCGCCTTCTTGGTCTCAACACGGTCCAAGACGACCCCAGAGGTCTCCAAAACCGACCCGAGACTGCACAAGAGGCCCTCGAGAGGGCCCCTGGACGGCCCAAGAGGGCCCCAAGACAGACCAAGAAGCCCCGAAGACGGCCTCCGTGGCCATTCTGGCTCAAGACGCTCGGTCAGGTCGAATTTGCCGGCTCGGCCAGTTCTGCCCGACCGGCCTGTCACAGCAGACCCGAGGCCATGGCGGCGGAGCCGGCCGCCGCCGGGGCCCTGGAAGCCCACCTGCAGGCCCTCGTCCGGGCCCTGGACCTGCAGACGAGCTTGGTGCGCGGCGCCCTTGGCCTGCACCAGGATCCCTCGAGCCCGGACCAAAGTTCCGCCGAGGAGGTGTTGAACAAGTTTGAGGTCGCGATCGACCGCGTTCGGTCCGACCTGGTCGCGATGACCACCGCTGCCGAAGGCCCTGAGAAGCCTCCGGAGAAGTTCACTGTCCAGGACATCACCCCCCCCGAGACCACGACAAAGACTGACCAGTACACGCTGAGCGGAGCCGACTCAGACCCCGCTGCAGAGGTCGCGTTGGTCGCCGACCCTCCCTTGGACCTCGCCGCCAGAGCAAGTGCCGTGAGCTCGGCAGGCCAAAGGGAGGGCGGCCTGGGCCAGATTGCGAGGCCCAGGTTCAAGAGCACGCGGTCTGGAGATGTCATGGGGACATCCTCCATTGAGTCATTGAGCTCCAGTTCGTCATTGGGAGCTTACCGGGCAAACACCCAGTACTTGATGCAGGTAGAGTCCGTGTCGAGGAGCCAGACACAGCACTCTCCCTGCATCGACGGCGCGCTCAATCCAGACTGGCCTCCGAGGCTGGTGTGGGACATGTTGATAATTGCCCTTGTCCTGTGCGACAGCGTGGTGATCCCGTTCCAGTTGGCCGAGTTTAGCACGCAGCTGGGATTCAATCAAGTCTGGCTCTGGCTGACGTTTAGTTTTTTCCTGTGTGACCTGGTGATGAGCTTTTTCACGGGCTACCACTCGGGCACGAAAGACAAGCGTTTGCAAGAGGGCACCCTCGTCACCAACAGGTCCAGTATTGCAACCAACTACCTCCGTGGATGGTTCTGGGTTGACTTTATGAGCACTGTGCCGTGGCACGTCATCGCTGACGCTTTCAGCTCGGACACCGCGGCAGACTCGACGTCGGCGGACCAGTTGACGAAGCTCGCAAAGGTAATCAAGTTGACGAGGCTTCTGAGGCTGATGAGAATGCTGCGCCTCTACAAGCTCTCGGTTATTTGGGAGCGCCTCGAGAGCCGCATCGGGTCCATCACGGCCTTGAACGTGGTGAGTCTACTCAAGGTCCTCGGCGTTTGGGTTGCGATCTGTCACTGGGGCGCGTGTTGTTGGTGGATGGTTGGCAAGAGAAACAGCTTGGCGATGATCTTGACGTTTCAAGATGACGATCCGAATGAGCTCCATTGGACAGAGGTGCAGCGCAGGCACAGCCCGCACCAAGACTACGAATTCTGGACATGGGTCGAAAAGCCTGCGTCGGAGCAGTATGTGTTTTGCTTCTACTGGATCCTTGGAGTGATGCGTACCATGCCAGCCGAGGTCACGCCTGTCAACTTGATAGAGAGGATGTTCGTCCTTCTTTTCATGTTTTTCGCCGTCATGGCTTTCGCCGTCAACGTCGCCCGCCTCACGCAGGCCTGGTTCAAGTTCAGCGCGCGCAAGGACGCGTTCAAGGAGGAGATGGCGTTCGTCCGCATGCACCTGAGAACGAACAACTGTACGACTTCGCTGCAATTGCGCGCGCAGGCATACCTGAGGTACCTCTTCGAGAAGAGGAAGATCCATGCCAAGGAGATGTCCCTGCTGAGCGCCCTACCCGACGGGCTGAAGCTGCAGATGAGGCAGGCCTACAGGATCCCCTATCTCAAATTGGTTCCAGGTCTCGAGGACTGGACTGATCAAGTTCTGCGACGATTCTGTGACGCCACCGAGACCGTGGACTATCTGACTGGCGACAAGATTACTGAGAGGCACAACGACGCGGAAGCCGCCTACGTGCTCATGATCGGTGGCATACAGGTATTCCACGAGACCCCTTCGATGACACGTTTCTCCACCAACAATGGCCACAACGTGTCCTCGATGCTCAGGGCCATGTCGCCGACGTCTATCGAAAGCGGCCCCCCCCTGACGGTGGTGGACGAGCATTGCCTTTTCGATAAGGAGGCGAATTCGTTGTGCAGGAACACTGTGGTGGCAACGGAGTGTTCTGAAGTGCTGCGCATAGATCGGCTGAAATTCCAGGAAGTGTTGCGTATGCGCGGCAACAGGGAGTACGAGAATCTTTTGGCAACAAGAGAGAACAGCCGGCAAAGGGCAGCCGGAACCCCCACATACGGCAACCAGCGGCGTTCGAGGGCCTCAGTGGCATGGCACCACATCGTAGCTCGCCTAGGCATCCCAGGCGCTACCTCAGGGTAGGTCGCTTTACCAGACAGCTGGATGAGGGAGGGGACGCGGCATGGAAGCTTACTAGGTGCATGCGCGTCTGTCTTGTGCTTGAGTGTCAGATTGGAGGCTGCTGTCCGCACAAAGACAGCGGACGAGTGTGCACGTGGTACAAAGAAGTGTGGCAATGACTGACTTGATTCATGCGAAAGGAAATTACCTCAACGACCCAAAATAGAAGCCCCGAAGAAGGCCCAAAAGGGCCCAAAGAGAGCTCCAAGATGGGCCCAAGATGGGCAACTGGAGCTGCTGTTCCGCGCCCTCCGCCTGACCCCCGAGGTCCCAACAGGCCCCCAACAGGCCCTGGGAGGCTCCAAAATAATATCCAGAGAGGCCCCCAAGAGACCCCAGGAGGCGCCCGGGAAGCCCCCGGGAGACCCCCGAAAGGTCCTTAAACCGGCTCCGAGAGACTTCCAAAGATGTGGACGCCCGAAATGGGCACGGAAAGAATGGGTACAATGCCAAACAACAAATGTTGTCCGAAACCAACAGCGGCCGCTGTTGGGCAGGCAGCCCTCTGTCTCAAATCGACACAGGCCGCGGCGGCGTGGACAGCGAGTCCTGTTCAAAATAAACAGGAACTGCTGTTGCGCATTGTACCCATTCTTTCCGTACCCATGTCGGGCGTCCAAAAAAGAGACCCCAGGGCCCAGGGCCTTCTGGGCCGGAACATTTGACCACAAATCATTGATTCGGGTTTCTGTCCGTTGTTGGAAGGTCCCAGATCCGCCCCCAGAGCTCCCGGACCGCAGTCAAGGCGGCCCAACACGGCCACGAGTCGTCCTTCGGACGGCCTCCAGGAGTCTTTTAGAGGAGGAGGAGGAGGAGGAGGAGTCAGGAGTCAGGAGGAGGAGGAGGCAGAGGAGCAGAAGGAGGAGGAGGATAATAGTAATAAGATGATGAAGAGGAGGAGGGAAAGGAGGAGGAGGAGGAAGAGGAGGAGGAGGAGGAGGAGGAGGAGGAGCAAGGCTCCCAACTGAGAGCGCTGACGTAGCACGCGCTTGCCAGCAAGGCTCCCAAGAGCGAGCGGTGACGCAACAAGCTCTTCCCACCGAGGCTCCCAAGAGTGAGCGGCAACGTAAGCATCTCTGGGCGCGAGGACTCTGAACAGAGAGCGGTGACGCAACAAGCTCTTCCCAGCAAGGCTCCCAAAAGAGAGCGATGACGTAACTCGCGCTTATCAGCAAGGCTCCCAACAACGAGCGGTGACGCAACAAGCTCTTCCCAGCAAGGCTCCCAAGAGCGAAGGAAGCCATGAGCCATCTCGGGCAGGTTGCCAAAGCTCTCTTTCCGTTCCCGTGTTGGCCCAGGTCTAACAAAAAGGCCAAATATACATCCAAGACGGCCCAAGAGCGCTCCAAGAGAGCCCAAGACCGCCCAAGACGGCCCAAGAGGCCTCCAAGACGCCCCAAGAGGCGCCCAAGGAGCGTCCCAAGAGGGCCCCAAGAGGCCAAAATCATTGATTTGCTTAAGGAAGACGTGCATTTTGAGCATACGCGACTTTTCGGCCTCAACGGCGTCGACGACGGCCCAAGAGGCTCCCAAAACCGCCCCAGGACGGCCCAAGAGGCTCCCAAGAGGCCACCAAAACTGCCCGAAAGGGCCCCAGGACGGCCCAAGAGGCGCCCAAGACGGCCCAAGAGGGCCCCAAGACGTCCCCAAGAGGGGGACCACGAACCGAAAAGTTTAGCCTTTCGCCCCAAGAAGCTCCCAGGAGGCCCCAAGAGGCCCCCAAGAGGCGCCCAAAGAGGCCCCAGGAGGCCAAAATCATGGAATTGCCAATTGGAAAACGTATATGTTTAGCACACACGGCGTTTCGGCTTTCACGGCGTTGAAGACGGCCGAAGAGGCCCCAAAGACCTCCCCAAGACGGCACAAGAGGCTCCCAAGAGGCCCCCAAAACAGCCCAAGAGGGCCCCAAGACGGCCCAGGAGGCGCCCAGGGCCTTTCGGTTTCCACTGCGTTGGCGACGGCCCAAGAGGCCCCCAAGACCGCCCGAAGATGGCCCAAAACGCCCCCAAAAGCCCAAGAGGGCCCCAAGACGGCTCAAGAGGCGCCCAAGACGGCCCAAGAGGGTCCCAAGACGGCCCCAAGAGGGGGACCATTAACCGAACAGTCTAGCCTTTCGCCCCAAGGCGCCCCCAGGAGGCCTCAATAACCCCCCAAGAAGCCCCAAGAGGCCCCCAAGAGCCAAGAGGCCCCAAAAGGGCACCAAAAGGGTCCCAATAGGACTCCCGAGAAGGTCCAGAGACGCAAAATAAAGAGCGATCGGTAACGCAAAAAGCTCTTCACACCAAGGCTCCCAAGAGCGAGCGGTGACGTAAACAAGCTGATAAGACCAAGGCTCCCAGCAGAGAGCGGTGACGTAACAAGTTCCTGACACCAAGGCCCAGCCAAGGCTCAGGAACGGACGGCAACGCAACAATCTCTGAACACCAAGGTTCCCAAGAGCGAGGGGTGACGTAACAAGCTCTCAACGCCAAGGCTCCCAGTACGAACGGTGGTGTGAGTAATTTCGGTTTCTGTTTCTGAAGCGCTCGTTCCGTTTCTACGCTGGCCCATGTGAAGGAAAGAGCGAGGCACGAGTGATGACGTTGTGTTTTGGGCGAAGCCTTCTAGGTAGGGGTCCAGGGAAGGTGGGAGTGGTGCAGGGATGCGTGGTAATTGCAGGTTTCGGGTTTTCTTTCGGGTTGTTCTATGTTTGTCGGGTTCTCCCCTTTTCCGTCCCAGAAGGGCCCTAGACGGCCCAAGAGGCCCCGAAGATCGGCCCAAAGACGCCCCGAGAGGCGCCCAAGAGGCGCCCCAAGAGGCCCCAAAATCATTGATTTCCCAAAGGGAAACGTACATTTGTTGCATATAAGGGCCTTTCGGCTTTCACTGCGTTGACGACGGCCCAAGAGGCCCCCAAGATCGGCCCAAGAGGCTCCCAAGAGGCCCCCAAAACGGCCCAAGAGAGCCCCAAGACGGCCCCAGAGGCGCCCAAGACGGCTCAAGAGGGCACCAAGACGGCCCCAAGAGGGGGACCACGAACCGAAAAGTCTAGCCTTTCGCCCCAAGACGCTCCCAGGAGGCCCCAAGAGCCCCCCAAGAAGCCCCAAGAGGCCTCCAAGAGGCGTCCCAAGAGGCCACCAGGAGGCCAAAATCATTGATTTCCTTTCGGGGAGCGTGCATTGCGTTTTTGAAGACGGTCCAAGAGGCTCCCAAGATCGCCCCAAGACGGCCCAAGAAGCTCCCAAAACGGCCCAAGAGGGCCCCAAACGGCTTCAGAGGCGCCCAAGACGGCCCAAGAGGGCCCCAAGACGGCCCCAAAAGGGGGACCCCCAACCGAAAAGTCTAGCTATTCGCCCCAAGAAGCCCCCAGGAGGCTCCAAGAGGCCCGCAAGAAGCCCCAAGAGGCCCCCAAAAGAGCCCCAAAAGGGCCCCAATTGGACTCCCGAGAAGGTCCAGAGACGCCAAATAAAGAGCGATCGGTAACGCAAAGAGCTCTTCACGCCGAGGCTCCCAAGAGCGAACGGTGACGTAAACAAGCTGACAAGACCAAGGCTCCCAGCAGAGCGCGGTGACGTAACAAGTTCCTGACACCAAGACCCAGCCAAGGCCCATGAACGGGCGGCAACGCAACAATCTCTGAACACCAAGGCTCCCAAGAGCGAGGGGTGACGTAACAAGCTCTCAACGCCAAGGCTCCCGGTACGAACGGTGGTATGAGTAATTTCGGCTTCTGCTTCTGAAGCGCTCTTTCCGTTTCTGTGCAGACCCAGGTAACAGAAGCGAGGCACGAGTGATGACGTTGTGTTTTGGGCGAAGCCCTCTAGGGAGGGGTCCAGGGGAGGGGGGAGGACCAGAGGGATGCGGTATAATTTGAGCGCGCCTGTTGTGTTACTAGGGGGGTCGGATTTTGAGCTGATTTCATTTCTCTTTAATTCTCCTTCCTAAAAACAGAATGGACTCTACCCCCTCCCCCCCACGGAGTTATCGGTCCCCCTTTCGGGTATGTAAATCATATATGATTATGACCACATGTCCATCCTAACTATGAAATCACAATGTCCCAGGCCAACCGGTATTCCCCCCAGAGGTTCCTTTGATATATATATATATATATATATATATATATATATATATATATATATATATTATATCCGGCAAAGCAACCTAACAGCGATGTGTAGAAGCATATCTGAAAGCATTCCCCTTAAGATTCAGATGAAAATCCAGTTGTCGAATTCTGCTGTTCTCGCAGTCGTAGTCGCATTCGCGATGACAGTCGCAGCGGCAACGGCAGTCGCAGTCACAGCCTCAGCCTCAGCCTGCCTCCTCCTCCTCCTCCTTTTTTCCTGCTCCTCCTCCTCCTCCTCCTCCTCCTCCTCCTCCTCTTCCTCCTGCTCGTCCTCGTTCTCGTCCTCCTCGTCTTGCTCGTCCTCCTCCTCCTGGTGCTCTCTCCTCCTCCTCCTCCTCCTCCTCCTCCTCCTCCTCCTCCTCCTCCTGGTGGTCCTCGTTCTCCTCCTCCTGGTGCTCTCCCCCCCCCTCCTCCTCCTCGTCCTCCTCCTCCTCCTCCTCCTCGTCCTCCTCCTCCTCTTCCTCCTCCTCCTCCTCCTCCTCCTCCTCCTCCTGGTAGTCCTCCCCCTCCCCTCCTCCTCCTCCTCCTCCTCTTCCTGGTCGTCCTCGTTCTCGTCCTCCTCGTCTTGCTCGTCCTTCTCCTCCTGGTGTTCTCTCCTCCTCCTCCTCCTCCTCCTCCTCCTCCTCCTGGTGGTCCTCGTTCTCCTCCTCCTGGTACTCTCCCCCCCCCCTCCTCCTCCTCCTCCTCGTCCTCGTCCTCCTCCTCCTCCTCCTCCTCTTCCTCCTCCTCCTCCTCCTCCTCCTCCTCCTCCTGGTACTCCTCCCCCTCCCCTCCTCCTCCTCCTCCTCCTTCCTGGTCGTCCTCCTCCTCCTGGTCGTCCTCCTCCTCCTGCTCGTCCTCCTCCTCCTCCTGCTCGTCCTTCTTCTCCTGCTCCTCCTGCTCCTCGTCCTGCTCCTGCTCGTCCTCGTCCTCCTGGTCTTGCTCGTCCTCCTCCTCGTCGTGCTCTTGCCCCTGCTGAAAATGTGGCCCAGGAATGGGAGTTCTGGGAAGTCGAAGAGCACGAAGTTGCCTACAGTTGGCTACGGGCATTCAAAATGTGGCCCGGGAATGGAGTT